ACTTTAAAGGTGATTTTCTCGATATTTAGATTTTTTTGCACCCTCAGATTCCAGATTTTCAAATAGTTGTATCTCGATATGTATACATTGTCAATTTAAAAAAATGGACCCTTATTAAGACCAGGGTCACATATTTAAACATACACAAGCAAAAGAAAGGTGCCTGGATAAAGACTTGCTTGGTTCCTTTATAAATGTTAATGGATTGTAACCACTAACTCTAATGATAATATATGTAACTTTTCAGGGATTTTAAAAGCAGTTTTGGGTTTAATGCACTTGGTAAAAACACTCAAAGTGACAAAAAAGTGAAAGCAGCGTATGTAGTAATTTTACACTGAATTTATAAACCAGGATGGGATTTAGTTGACTTATCGTACATAATAGACACAAAAAGACTGAATCTGGCCCCATGTGTATAATCCAATCCCAATATCACAGCATATGTTAATGATCCAGGAACACCTTTAACTTTTCCCTATAACCATGTACATGTTAATGTAGTTTTTCCTCTGAGTGACGGTAAATTCCCTGATCAGCACTCTTTATTTGAGCAGCAGGCTGTTATTGGCGTCTGGAACAATGAGGTAAATGTTGACAGTGTATCAGAGCAGGTATTTCAGCAGGAGGGGTTTGGCGATCTCCAGGATGTCCAGGTTGGGATCCAGGGATCTACCCAAACCCTCCAGGACCATGATGACAAACACCACAGACGCAAAATTACTCTCCAACTTCACCTGCAACAGGAAGAACAAAACATCTCTCACTTAAACACACAATAGTATCAAAATACAGTGTAAAATCACAATATCACTATGCATTTTCACTCACTCATATTTGTGCATGCCAGATTTTTAACACAAAAATTTCTGCTTTGTATGTTAGCATTTATTTTGCATGCAGTTCCTGTCTATGCATTATTTAAATAACATATTTAAATAGGTTTACTACATTTTATTTCAGTTATGTTACTGCTAAATTCAATTATAACCTTTAAAAGCTACCTAAGGTCAAAGTCAAATATTCAGATTAAAACAGAATTGCTTAGCTTTTTAGTACTACTTCCTGTTTATACATTTAAAGGCTGCTTTTTGAATTAGCCTACTGAAAGGTAGATGTTACATTAAGCCAATAAGCATTATTTTACTGACATTTTATGATGTACTAACTTGTGCTAAGACCAGCTGCTCTCACCTTGTGATGAATCAGTAAACCAAAGACTCGAGACAACAGCTCGGCCACCTGAATCTATAAAACAACACGAGTCATGTAAACCAACATGAGCTGTTTTTGCTGCTTAATATTTTGATGGAAACCATAATTTTTTCAGGATCTCCTAGAACAGAAAGTTCAATGAACAGCATTCACTTGAAATAGAAATCTTTTGTAACATTATAAATGTCTTAACGGTCACTTTTGATCAATTTAACACATTCTTGATGAATAAAAGTATGAATTTCTTTCTTTTTTCACTTAAATGTCTTGTTTTTTTTTAAACGTACACATCCCAAACCTTTCAATGGTAGCGTATCATTGTTTCCACAAAAATATAAAGCAACAGTTTTAAACTTTAAAAAATGTTTCTTGAGCAGCAAATCAGCATATTAGAATGATTTCTGAAGGATCATGTGATAATGAAGACTGGAGTAATGATGCTGAAAATTCAGCAATAAATTACATTTTAACATATATTACAATATAAAATAGTTATTTTAAATTGTAATAACATTTGCAATATTACCATTTTTATTGTATTCTTAATCAAATAAATGCAGCCTTGGTGAGCAGAAGAGACATCTTTCAAAAATACCTCAAAATTCTTTCAAAAACATAAGTCTCAGTTAGTTCAAACTTGACTGGTAGTATACAGATTTTTAACTAATTATGGAAGTGATGAAGGTAGTGATGCATAACTCCGTACCTTTCCCAGAGAAAGTGTGTCACTGAGTGCATGATCCACTAGTTCAGCCATTTCCTTCTTGAAACGTGTCACATCCTGGCACTCATTGGCGCGGGCGTGATGAAGGATTAGCTCTGCAACTCGCTCACCCTGGCAACACAAGTACATGTTTGGACTCTCATTCTGACGGCACCCATTCACTGCAGAGGATCCATTGGTGAGCAAGTGATGCAATGCTACATTTCTCCAAATCTGATGAAGAAACAAACACATCTACATCTTGGATGGCCTGAAGGTAAATAATACTAAAATAACACTGATGCGGATTCCAACAAACAAGTCTCGAACATTTCTATTCACTTGAAATTTGCCGCTAATATATTCACATTCAGAAATGTCAACAAAAGAACCAAAATCCCCATAGAGTATGTTTTTTACCTGTTTGAGAACGACAGCGGTAAACACGGCTCTGAAGTTGCGCTGATCCGCCTCGCTGAGCGGTGCCACGATGCCCGCGTCCAGCAGCACCAGCTGTAGAGGCGGAGGACTCGGCCTCATGCTGACCACCACAGTGTCACACATGTCCATCAGAGTCACCCTGTCCTGGGGTCCCTCTCCTCGCCCACCCTGCACCAGGATGTTCCCGGGATGGAGGTCACAGTGGACGAAATTATCCACAAACACCTGCCAGAGATAACCACAGGTTAGATTAATGAAACACATACAATTAATCTTACCATTGTTTAAAGGAATAGTTCATACAAAATGAACAGTCGCTGGAAATGTTCTCACCCACAAGCTATCCAAGATGTAGATGAGTTGGTTTCTTCATCAGATTTGGAGAAATGTAGCATTACATCACTTGCTCACAATGGATCCTCTGCAGTGAATGGGTGCCGTCAGAATGAGAGTCCAAACAGCTGATAAAAACATCACAATAATCCACAAGCAATCCATACGACTCCAGACCATCAGTTAATGTCTTGTGAAGCCAAAAGCTGTGTGTTTGTAAAAAACAAAACAAACAAAACAAATCCTTCATTAAGATGTTTTTAACTTCAAACCATTGTTACGGCTTAAATATACATGTCCTCTATCCATAATATTGTTTTCTCCAGTTAAAAAGTCATCTCGTCTGAACCAGGAGAGAAAAATGTACAGATAAAGCACCATTTACAAATAAAAAAAAACAGTCCTAAACAGATATGTGAGTGGATTTTGATGAGAGAAGATAACAAGGGATGGATGTTTTCACTGGAGGAAGCGTTATTATGGATTATGGTTATTATGGTATTTTGGCCAGAAGCAACATTTCGAAGATAAAAACGTCTTGATGGATTTGGTTCTTACAAACAGTTTTTCACTTCAAAGAATGTTAATCGATGGACTGGAGTGGTGTGGATTATTGTGATGTTTTTATCAGCTGTTTGGACTCTCATTCTGACGGCACCCATTCACA